CTTGAGGCAGAATTTCTTCTGAAACTTCAGCCTTTGTTCTTAAGCCCTTCAACTGATTGAATGAGGCCCACCCACATCATGGAGGGTAATCTGCTTTACTGAAAGCATAGAGGCCAGGCACAGTGGCTCACACCTGTAATCCCAGCACTTTGGGAGGCTGAGGCGGGCAGATCACTTGAGGTCAAGAGTTCGAGACCAGCCTGACCAACACAGTGAAACCCTGTCTCTACTAAAAATACAAAAATTAGCTGGGCAGGGTGGCGCATGCCTGTGGTTCCAGCTATTTGGGAGGCTGAGGCGGGAGGGTTGCTGGAGCCCAGGAAGTCAAGGTTACAGTGAACCATGATCTCACCACTGCACTCCAGCCTGGGTAACAGAGTGAGACCCTTTCTCAAAAAATAAAATAATACAAAGGTTTAAAAAGATTTAAAAAAATTAAAAATAAAAGAAAATAAAGCCGTCCAGGTGCGGTGGCTCACACCTACAATTCCAGCACTGTGGGAGTCTGAGACAGGCAGATGGTTGAGCCCAGGAGTTCAAGATCATCCTGGGTAACATGGCAAAACTCTGGATCTACAAAAAATGAAAAAAATTACCCAGGCATGGTGGTGTGCACCTGAAGTCCCAGCTACTCAGGAGGCTGAGGTGGGCAGATCACTTGAGCCCAAGTGGTGAAGGTTGCAGTGAGCCGTGATCATGCCACTGCACTCCAGCCTGGGTAACAGAGCGAGATCCTGTCTCAAAAACAAACAAACAAAAAAAAAAAAGAAAGAAAGAAAAGAAAAGAACAAGAACAAGAAAATGGAACTTAAGTTCAACCAATCATAGGTGGCCAACTTGGTGTATATTATATTATCTCGAACTTCCCATAGGATAGTCTGAATAAGGGAATTGCTCAAACATTAACCAGTCAAATAATTTTTTTGCTCTCTTCTGCATTCGCCCTATAAAAGCCTTCCCCTCATATCCCATTAGCAGAGCCCCAAGCCTGCTTTAAAGTCTGTGTTTTAGGGTTGGATGCAGTGGATCACTCCTATAATCCCAGCACTTTGGGAGGCTAAAGTGGGCGGATCACCTGAGGTCAGGAGTTTGAAACCAGCTTGGCCAACATGTCGAAATCTCATCTCTACCAAAAATACAAAAATTAGCCAGCTGTGGTGGCTGGTGCCTGTAATCCCAGCTACTTGGGAGGCTGAGGCACGAGAATCACTTGAACTTGGGAGGTGGAGGTTGCAGTGAGCTGAGATCGCTCCACTGCACTCCAGCCTGGGCAACAGAGGGAGACTTCATCTCCAAAAAAAGAGTGTATTTTAAAATCACCCTATAAAATCCTGTTTTAGAGATGCCCAGTTCATGAGTTGCTGTTTGCTCAAATAACCTCTTTAACGTTTTAATGTGCTTCAGTTTACCTTTTAACATTCCTGAGGTGTGAATTTGTATTATTTATTCTCAAGTCTTCAGATGCTTATTTAATCTGAAGATTTAGGTGTTTCTTTAGTTTTGATCAATTCCCAGCCATTTTCTCTTTAAATATTGCTCCTTCCTCATTTCCTCTTTGATCTCATTTTTTCCCTCTATGTCTCTTAGCCACAATTGCTTCCATACTGTTCTTGTTGTGCTGCTGAGAGGGTGATTTTTTTCAGAGGCATCATCCAGTTTGCTAAGTGTCCCTTTAGCTCTATCTTGTTCTGCTGTTTAATTCATTAATTTTAATAAATAACCCTTTTTTTTTTTTTTTTTGAGTCTTGCTCTTGTCACCCAGACTGGAGTGCAATGGTGCAATCTCGGCTCACTGCAACCTCTGCCTCCCAAGTTCAAGTGATTCTCCTGCCTCAGCCTCCCGAGTAGCTGGGATTACCATGCCTGGCTAATTTTTTTGTATTTTTTTAGTAGAGATGGGGTTTCACCATGTTGGCTAGGCTAGTTTCGAATTCCTAACCTCAAGTGATCCACCCAACTTGGCCTCCCAAAGTGCTGTGTAAAATTACAGCCATAAGCCACTGCACCCAGCCCTAAATAATTCTTAAAGCTGTATTTTTCATTTCTAGAACTTGTACAGAGTACCTTGGGTTTTGCTTCTGTCAGGGCCCTAAGTTCTGGACTAACTTTTTTTTTTTTTTTTTGAGACAGAGTCTCCAGTCACCCAGGCTGGAGTGCAGTGGCATGATCTTGGTTCACTGCAACCTCCACCTCCTGGGTGAGGTTGATTCTCCTTGCCTCAGCCTCCCAAGTAACTGGGATTACAGGTGCACACCACCACCTTCGGCTAATTTTTGTACTTTTAGTAGAGAAGGGGTTTCACCATGTTGGTCAGGCTGATCTCAAACTTCTGACCTTAAATGATCCACCTGCCTCAGCCTCCCAAAGTGTTGGGATTACAGGTGTGAGCCACCACACCTGGCCTCTGGATTGACTTTTAGATTAACTTTTTGGCATGGGAATCCTGGGACCAGTGGCATGCCAAAGCGGGGGTTGAGGCGGGAACAGTCCATCTCTCTCCTCCAAGTGGGGGAGGCCTGGCCTTTCCATCTTTCACATGAACTTTTCTCCCATCCAAGACTTTCTATAGAGAAAACTGTTGCTCCTTTTGCAGACCCAGTTAGTAGTTTTTCCAGCCTTTCTTTTCTGTGACTGGGATATTCCTCAAGGCTCCAAGCTGTACTCAGATGAATCAGTTCCAACTCTCCTGCCTCAAAAAGCCTGGGGCTGCCTCCTGTTTTTGAAGGGGCTTTAGAACTCTGGGCTCTAGGCCTTAGGGCCTGTATCTAGTCAAAACCTCACAAACCAGAGGTTTAGCCCTCACTCCATTTTTTGGCTTTGAGTTCTTGGAACTGTTTCTGGAATCTGGGGTTTTCCTTTCTCTTGAGCTCAGCTTTGTATTTTCAAGTGTTTTTCTTGTATTTTATGCAGCATTTTTATAGTAATGAGAGAGGGGCTGTCTGAAACAGTGCAATCTCATGTTGCTAAAAGCCTTCTGCTGCATTGACTTGTGATTATTCAAGGAATATAGTCCTCTCCACTAGGCCGTAAACCCCATGAGGCAGGGGCTATGTTGACTTTGCCGAATACCCAGCTTCCAAAAAGGACCAACCACATGGCAAGGGCTCAATACATACATATATATATATTTAAAGACAGTGTCTCACTATGTTGCCCAAGCTGGTCTCAAACTGCTGGGCTCAACTGATCCTCTTGCCTTGGTCTTCCAAAATGCTGAGATTACAGGTGTGAGCCCCTGCACCTGGCCCCTCAATAAATATTTTTGAATGAATGAACACAGATACTCTCTCTAGGGGCATTAATACCTAAATCTTAGGGCTGCTGGGAGAATTTAACAAGAGAATATGTAACATGCTTAGTATATGGTGGCAACTCAGGAAAGGTAACCATCACCATAATCTTGTCTGTTAAGGCAAAAGCTTGAATGATGGCTTCCTTGCAATTCAGCTCCTACCTCATCTCAGACAGTAGTCCTGGCCCAGGAGGGCAGGCAGGTTCTGTGGGTGTGGCCTCTTGCCACTTTCCAGAGTACAAGGTCAGCCCTTCCACCAGAACAGCCACAGCACTGTGGTTTTGTTTTTATTTTTTATTTTTTTGAGATGGAGTCTCGCTCTGACACCCAGGCTGGAGTGCAGTGGCTCAATCTCGGCTCACTGCAACCTCTGCCTCCTAGATTCAAGTGATTCTCCTGCCTCAGCCTTTAGAGTAGCTGGGATTACAGGCACCTGTAACCACACCTGGCTAATTTTTTTATTTTTAGTAGAGCCAGGGTTTTGCCATGTTGGCCAGGCTGGCCTCGAACTCCTGACCTCAGGTGATCCTCCCGCTTTGGCTGCCTCCCAAAGTGCTGGAATTATAGGTGTGAGCTACTGCGTCCGGCCTGGAAACAGAATTTGAACATTGGGGTGTGTGTGTGTGTGTGTGTGTGTGTGTGTGTGTGTGTGTATGTGTTGTAATATCTCCTTGGACATATTGGAAGGATAACCCATTAAGGACTATAATAATAATATGTATTAAATTCCTATTGTGTCAGACACCCTCTTTAGTTTAATGCTATTCATTAACTGCTAGGTGGGTACCATCCCCCACTTTACAAATGAGGAAACTGAGTCTGAGTGATCATAAGTAGTTTACCCAAGGTCCTGTAGCTGATACGGCAAGAGCTAAACTCCTCTGACTCTCAAGCCCAGTCTCCTGCTACCAAAGGACTTTCTTTCCTGTGAATGAGAAATTCACTCGGAGCTCTGGTTCCCAACTTTGACTACTTGTTGGCCTCTCCTGGGAAGCTTTACAAAATCCTGATGCTTGAGTCCTACCCCCAGAGATTTTTATTTAATGGGAAATCAGGAGTTTTTAAAGTTCCCTGGGTGATTTTAACAGGCATCCAAGGCTGAGCGCCACTGGCTTAATGGGTTCCAAATCCCACATCCACCAAGGTCTTTGGCTGTAAATGTCACCTGGCCTGACCATCCCCAGGACTGGAAAGAAGGCCACAGAAGTCCAGGACAGGAGCCCACCTCAAAGTCCAAGGTCCATAACTGGTGCCTGTAACTGCTTACCCAGAGCCAAACTGGGAAATAGGCACCAATAATAGTAACAATATAATGGTGACAATAATAAAAACAAGGGTTCAAACAGTATTTCAATAATTTACTTATTGTGATGTAGCAGGCGCCTTGCATACTTTACCTCATTTGTTTCTCACAGCAATGCTATGAGGGAGGTGCAATGAATCTCTCCATTTTACAGATGAGAACACTGAGGCACAGGCAGGTGAAGTGGCCAGTCCAGGGCCACTCAGCGAGGCTGGGCGGGTTGTGTTCTGGACCACTGGCTTTTCTATGCCGCCTTTCCAATCCCGGGCTGCCTCCAACTTGGCAGTCCCCGGGTCCCCTCAGAGCTCTCCCGCTACTCACAGCCCTAGTGCTGGATTTGCTGAGGGTCTGCCTCGAACTGGGGGAGGTGGGGGTGAGCAATAAAGGTGGATAAGGGGCCTGGCCTGTCCCCTCCACTGGATCTCACAGTCTGGCAGGGGCGACGAGGCCAGAGCAGGTAGAATGAGACACAGAGGATGGGTGGGGGGTGAAAGTGGTGAGATTCACCCTCAGCCACCAGTTGATGGAGAGATCCTAACCCTTGATCAGCAGGCTTCTAAGACACCTCCCGCCACCGCATCCCTTGAGGCCAGTGCCTGAGGCTGGATCCCTGAGCCCTCTTTCTGCACCCGCACAGTTTCTGGAGGAGGACCGTGTCATGGTTAGGACACACGTGGGTTCAAGACCAGACACCTCAACTCTGCAGACCTGGCTTCCTCACCTATGACATCCCTCCTCCCAGGTTTGCTGGAAAGATTGAACCAGCCGGACACAACCAGTGCCTGGAGTCGGCCTGGCATAGTGTGGGTACAGTCCTTCTCTCATCCTCACCCTGCACTCCTCCCAGCACCCAGCCTGGCTGCCCAGCCACTTCCCAGCACCAGCTTTCCATGCGGGAATGGAAACTCTGAGAGGGACCACGTCTCTTTGTATTTCCCCAGACTGAATTGTTCACAGCTGGCAGCGTGGCCGAATGACTCACCCCTCCCGGAAGGATGCCCATGTCAACCCAGCAGCTTCATGCAGGTCAACGCTTGTTCCCTCAGCACCCAGTAAGTCCGTGACTCTTATCCCTGGCTGCACACCAGAATCAGGGGGTTTGGAAGCCACGAGGCAAGGAAGAGGCAGTGGAGTCAGGATCTCTGGGGTGAGGCCTAGGCATCCACATTTCTTACACAGTCTCTTTCATAGGTCAGCAGAGGGTATTCAGTGTAAGAAGACCAGGGTGTTTGCTTAAAATACAGAGTTCAGGCACACGCCCACACCAGGTGAATCAGACTCTGGGGATGGGTTGTACAACCTGTTTGAACCCCTTTCCCTGCAGGATTTCTTTCTTTTTTCACAGGAAGGTTTAGAAACTACTTAGAAGAAGCCAGTGTGAGGAATAAATGGGCCCAGCTGCACAAGGACGTATCCTTGAGATGAGAGGATGGCCAGGAGCTGGAGAAGGTGAGGGCTGAGGGCCAGGAGGATGAAGAGGAACCTCAGCTGAGGGAGAGACCAGTCTGGGCTAGGGAAGGTGAGGTTGAGAGGCCTCTTGGAGGAGGCAGCTACATTCCTCTCATTCCTTAAAGGTGAATTTCTGAGGGTAGAATTTCAAGGGGGCAAATGGAAAGGGAAGGAGCAGTATTTATCATCTATTTATCTATCATCTATCTATTATCTACCTATCATCTATATATCTATCATCTATCTATCATCTATACATCTACCATTTATCTATCATCTATTTTTCTATCATCTATCTATCTATCTATCTATCTATCTATCTATCTATCTGTCTGTCTGTCTATCCTCTCCCCCCAATCCCCTCCCAGCGTTAACCAGCTCACCCTGCAGCAGTGGGAGCCTCTAGAGCTGGGTGTGTTGGAGGTGGGTGTGTTAGACTGCTCGGGTTTCCATAACAGGCTACCAGAGACTGGATGACTTGAACACCAGAAATCGATTTCTCATAGTTCTGGAGGCTGGAAGTTTAGGATGCCAGCAAGGCAGCTTTCACTCCGAGGCCTCTCCTCTTGGCTTGTAGTGGCTGCCGTCTTGCTATGTGCTCACATGAGCTCTTCTGTGAGGGAGAGGGGGGTGAGGGAGGAGAAGATGGGGAGAGGGCAGGGAGCGCTGGGGAAAGAGGGAAGAGGGAAGGGAAGGGGAGGGGAGGGAGGGAGACAGAGTCAGAGACAGAGCATGCTCACTCTCTCTTGTGCCTCTTTACTAATCCTGTTGGCTCAGAGCCCCACCCTTATAACTTCATTTAGCCATAATCACCTCCCTGAAGGACCTGTCTCCAAATACAGCCACATGGAGCATTAAGGCTTCGAGGTAGGAACTTTGGGGGACACAATTCAGTCTGTGGCAGTGGCTTCTTTAACTTCTCAGCTTGCTCAAAGGACCATGCTGGAACTCACAGCATCCTCCGGGGAGACTGGACCAAAGTGGGAAAGGGTGTGGGTGACTGTTGAGTCCACCTTGTGCTCTAGTTCACAGACTGACCTAGGGGTTGGGGGTGGAGGAAGCCTTGCCTGTGCTTAGGCCTCTGGAGACCCATGTATAGGAATAAAGGATATTGGGATCCAAATAGCCCACAGGGCTGGCCTCGGGGATCCCTGGGAGCCAGACACAAGGACAGCAGCCACGGCCCAGGTGACTAGGAGCTTCCCGGGAAGCAGCTCCGAGGGGCACTGCAGCCTCTTAGGCAGATCAGCCTGAGCCCAGCTGCCTTCCCCAGAGCATGTGTCTGGAGTGTCACAGGCAACACGTATCTGTTCATTCATTCATTCATTTATTCATTCAACACTTGCTAGGTAGCAGGCACTGTGCTGGGCTCTGCAGCTCAGCTGTGCATGAAACAGACAAGGCCCTGCTCTCATGGAGCTTATATATGAGACAGGCAGCAGACAGGACAAGAAACAATTCAATATCTGATGTGATCAAGTCGGCTCACGAGCGTGAGGAAGAAGCATGAAGCAAGGCTCGGAGAGGGAGTGACTGGGGTGGAAGGTTCCACGCAGTTCCCTGAGAAGACGGCATCAAGTAGAGAGAAGCCTGACGGTGTAAGATGGGGAACCTGCAGATCTGTGGGGAAGGGCATTTCAGGCAGAAGGGACAGGAAGTACACAGGTTCTGAGGCCAGAAGGACCTTGGCACACGTGAGGTGTGGCAAGGAGGCCAAATGGGTTGAGTGGAGGGACAAGAGAGCACCGTGGTGAATGGAGTGAGGGGCAGGCAGAGCCAGGTCACTGGGATGAGTGGGGTCCCTCTGTTTCTGTCTGATGGGAGGCCATGGAGGTTTTCGGCAAAGGAGTGGCATGACTTAGGTTTACGCGGTTGGCTTGATGCTATGTGGAGAATAGACGGTGGAAGGTCAGGTGGGGAGCTGAGAGACCCAACAGGAAGCCACTGCAGGTCAGGGAGAGGAGGTGACGCTTAGGGGTTAGAGACCTACCTGTCATTCCCTTCCAGATGGAACTGACCGCTAAGGAGAGGCGGGGTCCCCTGGAGAAACAGATGGGAGAGCAGGAGGAGTGAGGAATGAGCCCTGGCCTCCAGCTTGAGGAGGTCAGGAAGAGGAGGCTGAACCAGCTCAGGAGACTGAAGAAGAGCCAGTGAGGTACAAGCGGGACCAGGCAAACGGTGTCCTGATGACAGTGCGTGCAGAGGCAAAAAAGAGGGGATGCTGACCTGTGCCAAAAGCTGTGAACTTGCCCAAAAGACGAGGACCACCCCAGACCACCCAGATGGGCAAGTCGAAGGTTATGACAGCTTTGACTGGAGCAGCCACAGAGCAGGGCTGGGGACTCAGGCCTGATGAGAGTGCACGAGAGAATGGGATGGAAGGAGCTGGAGATGCAAGGCAGGCAAATTAGTTGGGGAGATTTTGCTAGAAAGGATCAAAGAAACGGAACAGTCAGGCTGGTTGGCCATGCAGGAGGAGGGAGGAGAGGACACAGCGTGTGGCCCCGATGGCCTCAGGAGGGGTTTTAGAGCTGCAGAACAGGTGGTCAGGGACACCGTGTCAGTCACTGGGCAGGCTTGGCTCCCTGAGGGTGGCAGGAAAGAGGTGGATCAGGGCAAGGTGTTCTAGGAGATAGAGGGCTCTGCCTGTGTTCTTTCTCCCTAGCCTGAGACTTCGCCATCTTTGTGTTTCAGAAGCTGTTTTTTTATTTCATTTATTTATTTTTTTGAGACAGAGTCTTGCTCTTGTTGCCCAGGCTGGGGTGCAATAGCACAGTCTCGGCTCACTGCAACCTCCGCCTCCTGGGTTCAAGCGATTCTTCTGTCCCAGCCTCCCAAATATCTGGGATTACAGGTGTGCATCACCACACCCTGCTAATTTTTGTATTTTTAGTAGAGATGAGGTTTCACTATGTTGGCCAGACTTGTCTCGAACTCCTGACCTCAGGCGATCCACCCACCTCGGCCTCCCAAAGTGCTGGGATTATAGGCGTGAGCCACTGCGCCTGACCAGGAAGCTGTTTTTTAGAATCATGGAAAATAGCAACTAAAGAAAAATTTGTCACCTGAAATGCTACCCCCGATTACTAGCTAAGAGTGTAGCTGGGATAGAGGCTGGTGGTAGAAGGATCCAAAAGAAAGAATGAGCTCTAGGTAGAGCCGACGGCTGAATCTGGCTGGGTGGGCCTGGTCAGAAAAGCTGGCCTGGCTGACATAGCAAGCACAGGACAGGACGGACAGGATATCAGCAGTTCACAGCCTCATAACCTGGGACTTTCCTTACCACTGGGTGGTGCATTGACTTAGGAACCTACTGGCTACAGCGGAGGACTGTTGATGCTGAAGGGCTCATGGACCTCTGGTCGGGGAGGAGCCCTTCCTGCTGTCCCAGCATTCTCAGAAGGATAGTCCTGCCCCACCTGGGAAATATGAGGGCGACTTTTGCATCCAGAAAAAGGATGTACCAGCTGGGTTGCGTCCATTTAGAGTAACAGTGACCCTTGCTACTCAAAGCGTGGTCCTTGGACTGGCAGTATTGCCATCAACTGGGATCTTGCTAAAAATACAGAACCTCAGGTCCCACCCTAGTCCTACTGAAGCTGTGTGTATTTTACCAAAATTCGTAGGTGACTTCTATGCACATTAAAGTTTGAGAAGCACTGGCTTAAGTCACTGATCCTCAGACTTGCTGCACTTTGGAATTACCTAGTGAATCTTAAAAGATACTGATGCCTGGGTACCAACCACCCTGCAGTTCCCCAACACTCCCAGAAATACTGATTTTACTACTACAGGGTATGGCCTTGGTACCAGGAATTTAAAAGCTTTTCACAGGATCATAATGTGCTGACTTAACCACTAACTTTGAGAACCACTACTAGAAGCCATAAAGATGTTTATCTGGGAGTTAGATTCCAGGGTAACTCTAGGTAGACTCAGCAGCCCCAGGATATAGCAGAGGACTCATCACTATCAGGACTTGTTTTGTATCCTTAGGTTTGTTGCCTTGTGATTAAAGATGGTTGCCATGTCTCCTAGAATACTGCACTTACCTGAGGTTCAAAGGTTGGGAAGAGAGCACAAGTGCGAGGAGGGAAGAGAGCTTGTTTTGTGACTTCTCTCATTTTGTCAGGCAGGGAAAAACTTTCCCCAGATCCCAGCACTTCAGAAGGCCAAGGTGAGAGGATCACATGAGGCAAGGAGTTTAAGACCAGCCTGGGCAACATAGCAAGACTCTGTCTACAAGACAAACAAACAAGGCCAGGTGTGATGGCTCACATCTGTAATCCTAGCACATTGGGAGGCTGAGGTGGGAGGATTGCTTGAGCCCAGGAGTTCCAGACCAGCCCGGGCAAAATGGCAAAACCCCATCTCTACAAAAAATACAGAAGTTAGCTGGACCTGCAGTCCCAGCTACTTGAGATGCTGTGGTGGGAGGATCACCTGAGTCCAGGGGGGTCAATGTTGCAGTGAGATGAGTTTGCACCAGCCTGCACTCCAGCCTGAGACCCTGTCAATCAATCAACCAATAGAAAAAGAGAAGTATTTCCCAGAATTCCTGCAACAGATATCCCCTTTATTTTCATTGAGCAAAGAGAGGTAACCCTTAGCTGCAAGGGAGTCTGAGAAAGCGCATTTTCAGCTTTTTCACTTTCTATAGTAGGAAGCAGAAAATGGAGAACGGGGTTAGAAAGGACTGTTAGCCAGTCATCAGTATGCACCATAAAATGCACATGAGATATAAATATTCATGTGGCAAACTTGATAAATTAAATAATTAAGTAATTAGTTGGCTAGGTTTTCAATGGAAGAAACAGAAAAGATGGGGTCTTCTATTAATTTTCTGTTGTTAACTGATTTGATCAATTGATCTTTTTTTTCTGTTTAATTGATTTGTTTTATGTTTGTTCAGATAAAAAAGTCAAAAAGTTTTCTTTAAAATACAAGGGTCAGGTGTGGTGGCTCATGCCTGTAATCCCAGCACTTTGGGAGGCCAAGGT